GAAGACTTTGAGTTAGTGTATGCCAATGTTTGTTTGTTTTCATATTGCGCCTATATTTCTCCATTACCTAATAAAGTTGTTATTTTCAATAGAGGTGACATTAGTTATGATTATTGTGTGCATTTGAGGAGAACATCAACGTTTTTAAACAATCTCATATTTGGAAATATAGATTTTTGACTTTAACGCAATCTACGAATAAGTGGTCAATTGTTTCTGGATGAATGTTACAAAAAGAACAAGAGGAACGAGAAATTAACTTAAAACGACAATTGCGGTTGAGATATAAAATGTTGTTTAGAATCTATACCGAAACATTCGTTGATATGCATCGATTGTTGTCTTGTCATTATCTCCTTTCATGCACTGTTTTCCAATCAATACTTATATTGCTCTCCTGGTGAAATTCTACTGAATTTGAATTTTAGTTTTACTAGTTGCTGGTAAATATCCGAATATCTGCTGTGGTTATTTTTTCCAAAAACATCTTTTTTCGTTTAACATAAGATAATTACCCGTTTGTTTTTTTCATCTTTGTGAAATCACCATTTTGTTTTTTTTAGAAATTCTTCCACTCTGAATTTTGGAATTGATCAGTCAGCTAATCCTCCCAGTATAAGAAATCTTTATCCAAAAGGCCTAGCAAATTTGCTTGTCCACGTAAATTTGCCATTTGTATAAACATTGCATAACATCAAGAGCCAGGTAGCACCGTTCGGAACGGGTCTCATGATAGGTTGAGAAAACAATGGACAAACAATAGATAAGTCTTCCAACAATATAACAAAACCTAACCTAACAATAGTGGTGCTGTACTTAAGGAGCAATCAAAAAGCAGGTTTCAATTGGTACTGCATTACTGAACATCAAAAGTGATCTTTCAGGGCTTCAGGGGGTGGGCACTCATTCACATGACTTACTACTTAAGCATTAACCTATTTTGGCTCAAAGCTACAGTGCTTGGATGTTTGCACTTGTATGGACTTTTCTGTATCACTGTATCCCATGTATGCCCCATCCTACACCGGTGAACATCAGGGATTATAAACAAAAAGACTTCCAGATGGACTTGATTATATAAGCAAAATGAATACCCTGCGAGCAGAGGAACTTTCCACCCCCTTCTACGAAGAAAAGGAAAAATACGTTTTTCCTTTCGTAGATAAAGGAAAAATGTTTTTCCTTTCGTAGATAGGGGAAAAATTCCTCTGCTCGCAGGGTACAAAATGAACAGAATTGGAACATTTTAGAGCTTTTTTGGAATTCATTGGGCATTATTACATTTTCCTAGAACAGTTTTATCATTACAAAATCCTTTACTAGTTCAAGAAAAGCATTCTGCACTAGTGAACTATATAACAGACATAACATAAAAATATAAAATACACATATACTGTGTCATTATATGATGGAATGTCAAATTGAACACATTCTGGTAGCACTGATTCAGTTTGTTCAGTTGTACAAAACTGTAAGAAAGTGGTGAACGTGACACTTGGACATGTGTAAGTGTAATCATCAAGATGATGAACTTCACAGTATTGAATACAGCTGCAATGGTTCTTTGTAACTTGAACTCTGAAACAATATAAAGAAACTAAATTTTAAATATTTGAGTAAACACATTGTATTTTAAATTTGGTGATTTACTGCAATGTATTTTATTTGTACTTCATTATTGTCACAAGACACAATTGATCATATATATGGGTATGTATGTTATGTTTTTAATTAAAGATTAAAAAATCTA